GCATTGTAAATTTATTGCCTTTTTTAAATGAATAAATTGCCGTGAGGTTAATGTTATAGAGCTTTATGGTACCTTTAGTTATTTTAAAGAGGAAGTATGGTGTCAATTTAAAAAGCAACAAAGAAAAGTTAGCTATGTACTTCAAAATGTTGATCAAAGTTTGGAATAAATCCCTCAGATGTTTGTGTAATGGAAGTAATGGTTTGTTAGCGGGTCTGCTTGCTTTGTGTGCTTTTACTGGATGATGTGCTGTGGTGAATTTTCTCATTGTCTCTGTGCCTCTGTTTGTGTTCCCCTGGATCCTTCTCTCTAGTTTCAAGCCCAGCTAAATTTAGAACAGTAATTTGCTTAGGGGGGCACTCTCTTGGTAGTGGTGGTTATATAAAAGATGGGGTATTTGTTCTAATTGTAAATGCATGTGAGCAGCCTAAGCTTGGGAAAAGAAGCAGGAACTTCCAAGACCATCTTCGGCTCTTTTCCCGATGCTGCTCAGCTTTATTGTCCTTTCCAACGGGAGACTTTCCTTGGAGTGGATGTTTTTCCTTTGCTGAATATCTTCTCAACTACTTCCTTACCTCAATACATGTTTCAATCACCTAACAAAACACACATGGAGAAAGGTCCAGGCCTTTTCCAGCTTTCTTTCCCCTCCCCATAGCTTGGAAAATCTTACATTTCTGCAGAAAAGAAGTGCACACATCCTGTCCTGATTATGGCAGCGAAAGGAGATGGATCTGGCGCGGTCGATCCGATGCAAGTCCGACACATGAGCGTGGTTGAGCAGAACAGATATGCAGGCAGGCATGCTTCTGCGTTTTATATTGCCCTTGTTCTTAGCCTTTGATGACACTGTTTTGAATAGGAAATATCTAATAAGTCAAGCATTCTGTCTAATGTGCTGCCAGTTGGTTTAGTATTTGCCTGGAGGTCTTGAAACAGTATCTCAGCCACAGCAATAATATACATTTAAAATTCTCATTGAGTGGGAGGGAGGGAGCAATATGGAGAAAAAGGAGGCCCAGCTGAGAATATATGCTGTAATAGTAACCATATGCAGGATGGAGTAGTAGATGAGGGTGGGATAAAATGGGACGCACCTTTGGTCCACGTCCTGTAATTTGCAATTTATCAAAATCACGCTTCAAAAACAGCAGTAGTTAATTGAAAGTGACGTGGGATCCATTATGATGATTAAGGAAACATTGGATTGGCCTCATGGAGGCTGTTACCCTTTTGAAAATAGAGATTAATAGGCGCAAGTTATTTATCTAATGTTATTTCTTCAAACAATGCAGCCATAGAAGGAAACTTTCATTGATTCAGTGGTTTTTATAAATCACAGCATTTTATAATTTTGCTAAAACACTACTGAAGGTATAGAGGACCTTCTTTTATTTCCGGGTGGATCATCAAAAGAAGTGGTCCTACTAACTGTCAATCATTCTGGTGATATGTTTACGT